ACTAATTATAGAGTCAGAGTTATTTTTGTAAACAAAGTGCCATGATGGCCAAATTTACCTTCTCGCTGCTCCGTGTGCAGGCGGATACCCGCAGATTTGACTTTAGAACCTCTTAAAATGAAGTAATACCTCGATCTTGATATAAATTTCATATCAGATTTTTGTCCCACAATTGAGATTTTAGCTCTCGAATCTGAGCATGTTTTTTGGCAGTCGGGTGACCTGCTCAGAGTGGTGTCTTTCGGGACTTACAGATTTTCTGCAAAATTATCAAAAAGTTCGATATTTTGCACATTTGTCAATAAAAGGCAGTGGAAACAGGTGGTGTAAAAAGATACTTTATAATTATCTGTAGTTTTGATATGACGCGACCCTCAAAAACGACAATTTTCGGTCCTCAACCCGGGCTCTGGAGGAGACGAATTGGCCCGGACGTGATCGCGCCTGTGGGAAAGCGGGAATATATTATTTGCAAAAAGAAAATCATTTTTATTACTTATATACCAAACCCTTTTAGTGTACAAAGTTTAAAGGGAAACTTTTTTCTGACGCGAAATCGATCGGACCGCTGTTAGCGGGACTGCCTCTTAATATAGCATATTTTTAGAGATATTGAATTTCACGTTTTTGTCCGAAATTGGTAATAGGTCATTTTGCGTAGAATTTAGTTGTCTTATAAGCGAACTTAGAATCCTTGAAAAATCGTAAGTCCGCAAATATTAAAGGTACAGATTTATATTTGGTCGCCTTTTAAAGCTTAGGAAGTCTACTTTTCAGAAAAAGAAAAAGATTTTTGGTGCACCAATGAAGCTTTCCGGGCTATTTGTTTTAAAAGACAGTAATTTTTCAGACGTTATAATTTTTTCCTAGCGGCGTAAACAACCAGCAGTGTCTTTGCGAAAAATAGTTTGAACTCAATTCGATTGCAGAAGCGAAAATTAACTTGAAAATAGTGAACTACACCGTTCTACTGCGTAAAGAATTTGAAATGCCGTCTTTACATGGCATATTTTTCCGAGATATTGAAGTTCGTGCTTTTGTCCGAAGTTGCGAACAGGTCATTTTGCGTAAAATTTAGTGGTCTTATAAGCGAACTTAAAATCCTTGAAAAAACATAAGTAGTATAGCCGGTAGCAAAATGTGGACACTTCGTTTTCTCGAGGGGCTGGAGGACTTGAAACCTCACCCTCCAGCCCCTTGAGCAAATGAAGTGTCCACATTGTTTCTACCGGCCATACTACAATGAAGTGTTCCACAACACAGTTCACATGTCAAGAGCTCACAAACAAACGGCACACAAACAGCTACCACCTGGGCGAACGGCTCCTTGCACAGCGCGGCGCAAGCCAGGCGTGAGCAGCCTATTAGACATTGGTAAACACTATGAATAGTGGTTGAACAGCGCATCGACCTGAATGAAAAAGTTATCAATCTGAGTAGGGAAGCCGAGCACAAAGAGAAGTCTTTTGGACACACGTAGGAGTCCGCTCGTTCCCAGTGAGTATCAACCAAATCGGCCCCCAAGAACCCAAAAAGTTCCTAACACTAAAGCCACAAGGAGTTTGGAAAGATTTGATCCCTTTCACTATATGCATTATGCGAACCCCAGATTAATGGTGCAAGACGTCTTTGATGATGACGAAAGACCAGAAGGGGAGTCAACAAAATGGATCGATCTGTTGGAAGGACGCATGGAGCCCGAACTTCCGAACCACTACGAAACCCTGATTGCCAAATTTGCCTGGGACGTCAAAGAGGAAAGAGCCAGAACATTTACAAAATGGCGGTCTTCTCGGGGTGTGAACCACAGTTGCAGCAGAGGGGAGCCATTTTTGTTCACCCCGACATGTCTGTGGTAAGAAGTCGCAGGCTCGGAGAAAAAGGCCTTTGCTTTGATGGCTTCAGCATGTTTTTTCCGATCAACAGTGACTTCGCCATTCAGGGCGGAGACCACAGCAGGAAGCCGAATGACCCATTTGGAAGACATTTGGCCCTCGGGCAGCCGCATTTTGACAGCATATTGGTGTCTGAACAGGAACTCAGCAAGGGTGCTGTTAAATCTTTCCACAATCGCCTGATCCTGGTGAATATCTACGAGCCCGCATCGAATGTTTGTTTTGTGTTTTTCCATCTCTTTGGTGACAGCTACCATGACCTCACGCCACGGGTCCACTTGCAAAAGCTGTGGCCATTTCAAAGGCCCGCATTTGTAAATTATTTATAAAAGCGCTCGCCACTTGAGCAGCCTTTCAAGGTTAGGGGTTCAGCTTCTTTGAAACGGCTGGCCACATCAATGACGGTCAAAGCGTATCTGTAGGTTTTTCGGCCCAGGCCATGCTCCACAGTGTCGTGTGGAAGAAAAAGGAGGTCTGCGTGAAGAACTGCGTTTGACGTGGACACATCGAATTTGGGGCGAGGAATGTGTTATGGCGCAGAAAGATAAATTTGCCAAAGGGCTTGGCATATCAGCCATATTTTGCCTCATTTTGAGAAACCTTTGCAGTGGCTGCCGGCTTTTTGATGGCAGCGATGCCTTTCCAGTAGCCTTGAGGGTGGTAGTAAATTTTCGAAAGTTTCTCGTCCAACGTGTATTCATTTACGGTTCGAACTTTTGATTGTTCGTTGTGAATCAAAACTCAGACGTTTTTTGGAAGGATTTTTTGATCCTCGAGGTATTGCTTAAAAGCGATGGCTGCAGCCATAACAATGGTGAACTTCATGTAGTTCATGGCATTGCTGCTGGGGTCGGTAGTAAAGTTTTCTTTGATGGTTTTTTTTTCCACGGCCGAGCGTATGCCGGCGGCCAGGCAAGTAAGCGTTGCAGCATCAAGAACAGTTTTGACGAGCTTGTTGTCAACAATTATTTCTCCTCCTCCTTACTCACTGTGGGTGGTTGAAACAGTTCTTCGAAGGTATTCAACAGAAGCAGACTAACTTGTTCATTGATTGGGAATACGATATGCTTATAAATTGCCCAAATGCCATACAGCTTTGCAGTCCTAATAACAGCTGCCACAACAAAGTTCGACATCATATTATTATGTAAAAACTTTCAATCCATTAACCAAAGATTGTGGCTTGGCTTTCGATCAGGCGCTGGCGTTCGCTGGAGGGTTGACATAATCGCTGCCCGCTGATAATAAACGCCCAGAGCAGAGACCATCAGGCCTTTAATGCCAAGAAGCAAATAACCATTTACTCCAGCGCTTGGGTTCTCTGGCTCTACTTTTAATTCAGCAGGGATTCTTTTTTGCCTCACATGCCATGCTGCTATGTTCAGCTAGCTTTTTGCCAGCTGCAATCCGCATACGATTTTTTGCAGGCTTTGTTTGAGGAACTTTTGACAAAACCTGCTCTGGAACTGCAGGTGCCGCTGATATATCTGCAGGTGCAAGCGATTTCTCAGCCATGTTGTATATAATAAGGTGAGGTTTTTGGAGGTCCTTAGCCAGTTTCTTTGCAAGGTTCTTGGACAGGTTTCTCTTCAGGTTCTTTCTCAAAATCTATGTGCTTGACTGTGATCACAGCAGCATTGGCAACCACCCGCAGGCGACCACAGCTCAGTGCCATATTTCCAGCCACAGATGGCAACGACGAGTTACTAACAAATCTTCTTGCAGGTCCTTTTGCAGAGCTTTCACGTCATTCACTTTGATGACCATATCAATCGCTTTGCTGGCAAGCATCAAAAAGCTCTGAATTAGCGTCTCGGTGGCCTTGCTGCCCGTATAGGCTGCATATCGTTTGTAAAGTTTTTTTCCACCTCTTTGTCCGTGACGCGTTTCATCTGTTCATGCGAAAGTTGAGCGCCGAGCACCTCTTTGGATTAGCCCATGGAAACAAGCACAGCCAGCTTTTTGCGTTGTTCTGGAACGTTTTTGGCAGGGAGGGAAACAGAAAAATCGGAGGGTTTCAAGCAGTCCGGAGTGGCCACTAGCATTTGCATGAGTTCATTGAATGCCTCCTGTTCAGACATGCTGTATAAATTTTGATTGCGAATGGATGGCACAGGGAGAAGACCAGATAGGAAAGTTTTTCTTTTATCAGCACTGTCATCAGTTCCTTGTACTCTTCCGCGGAAAGCGAACCAGCATAGTCTTCGAAGATGGCTTTTATGGCTTTTCCGACAGAGTGTAAAACAGAACAATGGCGGCCACGTTTTTACAGAATGGTTTTGCGATGCTGGTGATCTGCGTTAGAATCCACACGCTAATGCCTGCATGGCAGGCCGAAAAGCCGAGGGAAACCAGCTGGCCAGTGGGGCCTTTCATGTCCTTCGAGGCAGCACAATTGTCCAAAACAATGAGGATGTTCATGCCCTGAAAAAAAAATGGCTGCTAAGTTTCAGCCAGAGTTCGACCTCCTCTTGCGGGCATTTCACATTTCCGGAGCCAGATGTCTTTCTGTTGATCGCAAGGAATACACCATCTGTGGTGTTAACAAGATGGACGCCGCTGCCGTGCATTGTGGTGTCTACCATGGATCAAAGGTCGATGGGCAACCCAATAAATATGTGACATTCACTTTCGTGATGTCAGGGTTAATGTATTCTTCCGAGTCGTGGTCGCCGGCGGTGTAGGGTTCGATAAACAGCAGAAGAATATCCTTGGACAATCGGCACTGAGGGTTCACTCTGATGTTGAGCCTGCTCTCAATGGCGTTTGCAAAGGTCACTAACTCTTCTTGCATGATTTGCTCATATCCAAATGCCCTGCTGCTGTAGTACACGCTTGTTGCCTTGTCTGCCAATGTCTTGCTGCGGATGGTCTCATACTCCAGCTGAATGTTTGTCAGCTTGTAGACCAGCTGCGATGCGTCTGACTCTTTCACAACCTGCGGGGCCGGCAAAAGGGTCAGTTTGAAAACAACCCTGTGATTTTGCAGAATCGGGTGATTCAGCCGGATGCAGTACTTGGTGCCGAAAACAGCGCTTTTTCAGCATCCACACCCGTTGTATCTTTGTCATCGGCATCCAAGCGAATCTTACAAAGTTTTGCAGTTTGAATCCCCTCCAGCAACATGTTATTACAGCGCACATGCAGTGGAAGGAAAAGAACCTCGAAACATTTGTAGATGTCGTAGCCAGATGTGTCTTGAAGAGTGGTGCCTGCATATTTTACAGTGAACTTGTTGACTAGTGCTCTCAAGATGTTCTGGACGAGAAAGTTGTTTGCATTGCCGCCGGCCAGAACAAAGCTGAAACGCAGTGCCAGAGAACCCGGCATGATGACTTTGTTACTGTTCAGCTTGGGCAGGTGGACGTGAAGGGTCTCGCCCGGGTTTGCCTCACTGAGGGTGAAAGTGATGCGCTTCACAGTGTGCTCGGCCTTTATGGCCCTGAGGGTTTTTTCTATGTGTTGGGTGAAGAGTTGTTTGAATCGCAACCTCTGTCGTCCATTATATAGATACAAAAAAAAATGTCAGAGGGTGGTTTTGACAATGAGAACCCTAAACCTTGACAGGCACCTAGACCAAAATGATGATGATGATGATGACGATCAGGAAGTTAACCGCACCCAGCCCTTTTACCGGGAAGTGCATACGCACCTCACCACCGAGGGGAACAACACGAAATACATAGGTTTCCTGATGAACATAGCGGGCTGCCTGATACCTCTTATGATGAAGACATACCTCTACTCAGTGGTTTTACACATGAGGACGACAAACCAGCCACTCTTGAAACAGCAAGAGAAATTATTAAAAGAAAATTCCGAAAAGTTTATTTCACCAAACGAGGTCCAATCAGGTTTAGCAAGAAAGGAGAGGACGCTAAAATAATTTCATTTGGGCCAACAGGCAGTGAGTCCGCCATTTTCACAAAAGACAATTCTAGCCTACTCGCATCATGCACCAATAGATTCAAAAATGCTCTTGGGCCAAAAGCCGAGGAGGTCATTGTAGAGGACAATGAATTGATCAGGGAAACAAAACAACGATTACGAGAGGCGGGAAAACAGGAGAAAATTGCAAGTGAAACAAATGAAAAACAGCAAAAAGCCGCTGAAGAAAAGCAAAGACGACAGACAATATTACCAAATTCAAGAACGTCTTAATAACGTGGAATCTGAGATAGGGACACAAAATGAAATAGACTGATTAAATAGGCAAAAAACAACACTTGAGAGGGATATAAATGAAGCTATTACCACAAGTCAAACACTTGGGAAAAGCAAACAAAGATCAACAAAAAATTGTGTGGACAAAGGCATAGAAGAAGGGCTGCAAGACGTTGGTAAAAAACGGCACCCCTTTTGCCTGGCCTTATCGGCTCGATCGTGAGCTTCTTTTTCAAAGCCGTGGGGCTGGCCATTTTCTTTCTGGTGGAACACAACTGGCTCCTCATTCTTGCTGTGGTCGCCTTTCTGATGGAACAGTTCCTCTAGCACAAGAGTTAACGCTTCCAAACCAACAGACCTGTCAAAAGAACAGCTCCCACAATGATCAGCGCCTTGTTTACGTCATGACTTGTAACAGCTGGGGCTGGGTTGGGTGTCGTGGGAGAAAGAGGCTCCTTTTTTTGCTCTCCAAGACCTTGCGCTGCCTTGTGGATTGAATTGGAAGGATCGCTGTTTGGCGGGTTAATTTTTGACAGTCCACCATCCATGAGGTGCAGACTCACCTTTTTTGTGTCTGTGTCCATGTCATCGTTTATCCCGAGCTTCATGTCTGGAGTGGCCTGCCTGAGCTTGTTGTTATAGGCGACTGTTCTCTCTGTATTTATCACCATGTACAAGGGCATCAGCCATACTCCTGGTGCTGCCACCAAATCAAGGTGCACCTTTGCTTTGTCTACAGCCAGCTGATAGCGCTGCACAGTCTTGGCCAGGTCTGGCTGCCTGATAGCATCCTCCAACAACACCAGAAACTCGCTCTGCGCTTCTTTTGCTCAGCCACCATCACCGAGAATGCTGTTGCACACGTTAACTTGTGCTCTGAGAATGAAGTACAGGAAAGCCTCGATTGACCGATTCAAAGTCTGTGGTTGGTTCTACTCTGAACTCGGAGCAAATTCTCTTGTACGAGGGGATGTCATACGGGTTGTTTGGCTGAACGACAGGTCTCCCAGCAAAGCATTCACGCTTTGGATGCCACCCATCTCAAAAAGTTTGCTTCTTGTCGTAAAATAGACGTGGAACTGAAATAATACTCTTACCTGGGAGGACAGCGGCATTTCCAACAAAATTTCGCGTGAAATGTTAGAACCAGTGGTGGCATACCATAGTGCAAAATTCATGTTCGACCCTTCCAACCATGCCCTTGCCTCTTTCCCTGTCATGTGCTTGATTTTGGTGTTTGTGAAAATTTCCCTGTACTTTGTGGTGAAGTACTCTGTGGCCGTGACATATATTTTTTTGCCCCAGGTTGAACAGCCCGCCGAACACTTGCAATGCTGTTTTCAAAATCAACTGTTGGAACAGGCTTTTTAACGTTTTTGGTCAGCATCAGCTGATAGGAAAAATTACTGAACCCCAGGGCAATCCGCAAGGCTCTGCTCCAGTTCTCTTCATCAATCTCTTCAGGATCCTGAAGCCATCCCAGACCGGCCTTGAATTTGACTTCTCCTGTTGCGTGATGTTTTTCGTCAAAGTGCTTTTCTGTTGTGAACTGCCTTATGTCGGCATTTGGGAAGCATTTTGGAGCTCTGCAAGGGCATTTGCCTTGGTGGCATCAGCCGCTTTTTATTTTGGCGGAGTGCGAAGTAAAGGATTCACAACGCTCAAGAATGTTTCAAAGTTGCATCTGGAGGTCCCAAAGTTGCTTCGGAATTAGATTGAGATATCTTTGAGTTCTTTGATTTATTTTTTGAGGGGAAAGAAATACTTATGAGGAAGAAATAATTATTACTTCTGGAAGAAATAAACAAGAAATAATTATTTCTGGCTTGCCCGGGCTTTAAACTGGCTTACGTGTGACCTGTCAGATCAGATGAGACTCTTAATTAAGGCCGTAGCCGATTGCACAACCGTGACGCAAGGTAATTTGAGATGTGAAAAATAGCCATAAGTTATGCACAAGGTACGGGAAAAGATTCAGCACGCAAGTTTGTTACTTTGTTATGTATACAATGTCCTCTTTGAACATGCTGCCAAGTGCAGCGCCTGAAAAAATCTATCCAGAGTTGCCGCCTGACAACTTTTGGTAGTCTCGAATTAGCCACATCGTAAAACAAATCTCCGAAGAAATTGAAAACTACAGAAAAGTCGCCAAAAGGTACAAAAAAGCACAGACCGCCACGCACTACACCACCGTCACTTTGGGTTCTCTCTTGGCCGCTCAGTCTCGACCACCGGCATCACCTTGAACCTTACAGCCCAGGGATCATTGTCGGTGCCCCCCTTGGTGCAGTTGGTGTGTTTTGCGGAGCTGGATCTGTTGTACTTACAAACCTTGGCAAAAAACTCATCCTGAAAGTAACAAAACACAAAAAAATTTACCCACTGACAACCGCCAAACACAACTCCATTAACGCCCTTGTTTCCAAAAGTCTGAATGATAATGTTGTTACTGACAGAGAATTCCAGATTATTAACTCAGAACTGGAAAAATACTTTGAACTGAAAGAAGCTGTATGGGCCAAACTCAAGGTTAATGCAGGCCCTGGACCCGACATTGAAAAATTAAGACTAGTTTAAAAAAATGCAAACCAAAGAAAAAATTTGAACTACAACATATACACCCCACAATAAATGATAGCCGTTATATTCTTGGCTGTTTCATTTATAAAAGGTTTCCTCATACCTGAATGGTAAAAAAATGAGAGGCCGTAATGTAGCGCTAGAGGAAGCAAAAAGGCTTTCTTCTGTAGAGACTGCATTGTGAAAAAAGAAAATAATATGTCCCCCTTCTGCTTAAAATGCGCAACTCGGGACCTACGTGCTGGACCGCTTCGTTACAACACCATGCATGTACATTGTAGGGACGTACAATGAAGAAAGCGATAATGTTTTATTTAAAGCCTTTCCCCTAGAACTTCCACCAGCGAGCCCTGTATAAAGTTGATCCAGCCCTATTAAACACAAATTCAAAGATATTTTTCAGGAGAATGACTGCCGTTTTGATGGCAAAAAATGCATTTCATCGTATTTAAAGAACAGATGCCAAACTAAGCCGATAAGGTATAAACTCATCTGCTAACAAAACGTGTTTTGTTACCTCGATTGTCGTTCATATCTTAAGGCTAATGATCCAAATTGCTTCCACTTGCTCTTAAAAGCACTTTTGCATTCGAAATTCATTGCAAAAATCACTTATCAACTCATAAAACAGCAACTAAAAAATCCAAACCGATAGAAATATGACCAAAGCAAGACACTCTTCGGTGTTGCCAGGAGACACAAAATGCTCCGTGACGTCACACATTAGATGACGTCAAGGCGGACATATAGAAATATGGGACGTTTGAGTTTGCAGCTGGTAAAGACCATGCACAGTTCACACACTGCATGCGCGCGATGAGATTGTAACCTCTCTTCACAAGGAATCAATAAAAATTCCCTTGTCAATGATGTCGTATCCTTCGTTGCATCTTTCTTTTCTTCAGTTTTCGTAACAGGTAACAAAAAAACAATAATTATTACGTGAAAATGTTTCCCTCTTAAGCATAGAGACAGAGATACACTAGGCAAGGTCTCAACATAGAGCACAACTGAAATATGCAGTGGCGTAGCCAGGGTAGGGTTCTAGGGGTTCTGGAACCCCCCTTTGGGCTGCGGCACTGGCTATAATTTCAAGAGGAATGAGATTTCAGCTGTCAAAGAAAATAAAAAGAAAAAAATAAAAAGCATTCCATTCTATTCGATGATTACATACGTTACATATGAGGCTTGATCAGTTTTTACAGTAGTCTTTTTTACTTTAATTCTATTACTATGAGGAAGATCATACGAGGCCCCTGTGTATACAATGTTACAATGTGGGATTCAGCACCTTTTAACGTCTTCTAGGATACCAACGGCTCTAATTTTCATGTGGCGGCTTTTCTGTTGGCAGTGGAAGTGGCTTTACGCAAAAAAAGGCCTTTCTAGTAGTAGTGCAGTTGACAGCTAGGCCACGAATTCTTTCCAGACTTCAAGTTGCTGCGTATTTCAAGTACGTTATTACAAACTAGGAGTAATCGGAGCTTAGGAGAGTGCGTTCGATATGTTTGCTAAGCGTACAGGTAGCATTTGAGGAGAAAGGGTGGATGGTTCTTGCGATAGATAACTATGATTATGGCATATTTTGAACGTAAGGGTTGCGTACAGCGAAACCTCGATTTAAACTGTGCATTATAATGAAAAGGTTTTGAAGGCTAGTGATCAGCGTGATATAGTATGGTTCGTCTCAACTG